AAAGAAGTAGTAAACTAAGGTTAATTTAAAAGAAGAGATTAATTCTGATCTTATAAAAAGGACATTTATTTTCACAAACTATCTTTAATCAATCATATATATTTTGAAACAAATCTTTAGACATTTTATTGCTCTAAAATAACATTCATTATGATAAAAAAAATTGTTCATACCAAAATAATTAAATAAATATTTCTTATTAATGTTGTCTTTAATTTTCAATGCTAGATATTACATTAATATATCATATATCTTTTTATTTTTTAATATATTTTTCTTAAGTCATATTCAAAAATTATGGCTTCTTAGATCATAAAATTATTTTATTTGTTTATTATAAATATTAGTTCTTTAGAATATATATTATTAGTAATACTAGATTTAAAATAAAAATAATTTTGTGTACTTTAGTGAGATTATTAATAATTAAAGTAACTTAATATCAAATAAACAAAAAAAAGTGTTTGATAAATAACTTCTTCTATCAATTGATTATCTACTTATTTATATATAAAAATAAGAACTATGATATGACGTATAATTGGAAGTGCCTCTAATCGTTTTAGAATAATGTGAAAAACGGATAAATTAAATAAAAACGAAAACTAAACAAAAAAAACAATAGATGTCGAGAGGTTAAATAATAAAATATGAGGTAGATATGTATGAAAGCAAAACGAAAAGAAAGAGTGATAAACGCAAACTTAATCAACAATCTCCGATCGCTGATTATGAAAATGATAAAAAAAAGGTAGGTAGATGGACACCTGAAGAGGATGAGAAGCTTTAAAAATTGATTGAAGGTTTTCTAATGAAATTTATTTGTAGAATACGGAGAAAAGAGTTGGCGAATCATAAGTGACATGATGGAAGGTCGGAGTGCCATACAATGTCTTCATAGATGGACTAAAATACTTAAACCTGGACTGAAGAAAGGTGTTTATAGTGTGTTTATAATTTAGGACCTTGGTAAGATGATGAAGATGAAAAGCTATTAGAATGGGTTAAGAATAATGGACCTTGTAAATGGTCTTTATGTGCTGAAAATATAGCAGGAAGGTCGGGGAAGTAATGTAGAGAACGATGGTTCAATAATCTCAATCCTAATGTTAAAAAAGGAGGGTGGACATCTGGTTTATATCTATTTACTATACATAGAGGAGGATCATGAAATATTTAAAGGGTATCTACAGTATTCGTCATCTTGGTCAAAAATTGCTAAGAACTTGTCAGGTAGAACTGAAAATTCTGTGAAGAATAGGTTTTATTCTACAGTTAGAAAATTATTGGCTGATTAAGAAAAAAATGGGATATCACTTAAAGTAAATCCATTTTATTTATTTTAGATGCTTGAAGCATAAGGAGAAAATGGAACTTCTGCTTTATAAACTTTTGTAAAAGAGCATCTATAAAAATATGAATAGCAAATGTAAATGTAAATGGAATAAGAAGAACCTGAGTCAGATAAATCAATGTAAGAAGAAAAAGTGGAAGAATCTGAAATTAAATCTGAAGATGATGATGATGATAGTAAATCAAGAAAGAAGATGTAAACAGAAACATATTAAGAATAAAATCTACTTTATAGGTTACTTAAACAATAAGGAGGACCTATTAAAAGAACTTCATGTATGAAGGATTATTCGACAATCTATAAAAAATATAAAAAAAGATATAATCAAAAAAAGAAAGATAAAAAACTATCAGATAAGGTTGAAAACCTTAGAAAAATGATATTAAAAAAGGATGATTATAAAAATTCATCTGAAGAAAAAGAATTAGATTTCTAATAAAATCTTGAACAATAATTAGCTAATTTTTCGTAATAGAAAATAGATGCTTAATCTCAAAATGGTGATTCGGATAAAATGAATGAATTTTAAGAAAAATTATTGGCATTCTTCAATTAGCAATTAAATGAAGTAATGAAAAAATTTTATGTTGAAATGGGTGATCCTAAATAAGCCAAATGGCATATGATTCTTGCTCCTGATGACAATAAAATATAATAATAACAATAATAATAATAATAATAATAATAATAGTAATAACAATAATAATAATTGTAAGAAAGTAAAAAAAAAACAAAAAGGTAAATTGCAAAAAGTGTCAAAGTCAAAGAAGAAGAAGATGAACAAAATTAAATGGTTATGAATACATTTCTATAAAAATTTAATCATCTTGGTTAAATAGGAATTACTCAATTAAGGTATTATTATTAAATAATTTATAGTGCTAATGTAAATGAAGGTAAAAATGAAACTGAAAATTAAATGGTTTAAGATGGTAAAATAGATTAAAAAATGGTGTTCCTTATTAGTTAATTGCACACATTAGAGAATATGTTAGGTGATACAAAAAAGGAATTTAGCAGATTAGAGGCTAGTCTTTATGAAAAAATAAACAATACTTCATTTCACTCTAATAATTCGAGTGAAAAGAACTGATACTTAATTATTGTTATTTAATTTCTTTGATTTTGTGTCAGCCATATTAAATAAATTAATATTTTCTTAATTACTTCATCAAATTTAAAAAATCATTTCATTTTAAGATGTTCTTAAATCATAAAAAATAACTAGAATTAAAGTTAATCATATTTCTATAAATATAAGTTAATTGAATTTACTTATATTATGTTCATTTTGATTTAAACGTATTCTATTTTCTTGTTAGATTATTAAATTTGCCCAAAACTTGGAGGAAACACCTATCATTCTTTATATAATTTAAAAAAAAGCTAATTTCTTTTTAAATTGATAAAATTTTATTTTAACAAATGACTATGATTTTTCTGGAAGAATAGACTATTTTGTGGAAGCTATTATAAAGAATTTATACAAAACTCTAACCAAAGGTTTTGTTTGTAGAATTTATTAAAGAAGAGGGTTTAAAGTTGTTTAAATAATAACAAAAACATAATTTTTGTTCATTATTTAGATCCTTTGATCAATTGAAACGAAATTAATCCTCTAGAACTTCAAACTTATTGTTTTGGAGCCTTCTAGTGAATCAAGCCTTTGTTTTTAGATATTTTTTTGTTTATTTGTTTATTTCTTATTTTGCATTTAGAATTTTCGTTTTATTCTTTATCTATTTCTATTTCTTAAGCTCTGAGTATTTTATTATGTATGAATTAGGATAGCTTAAGAATTTTATCTGTAAATTAGATTTATTATTCTTGGCTATAAGCAACTATGGCTAAAGCAAGTTCTAAATGAGAATGTTTGTAAATATCGAAATCTATAATAATTTAAAATGAATACCTAAGAGAATGAACATTAATAAACTTTAGATATTTTCATTTATTTCAATATTCATTGCTAATAAATAATCAGATGAAGTAATGTAATTTAGCTAAAATCCCATAACTTTAATTATCTACTCTTCCATTTCATCATACTCTGTATTTTAATATATATTCTAACCATCTGGATCATATAGTTTAATTTAAGTCACCATTTCTGTTTCATTAAACTATATTTTATTTCCATTTTTACTTTTGATGCTAAAGAATAGGCTGAAATTCCCAATAACTATAGATATTCTTAGGTTATCTTAAAAAAATTAAGATAAGTGTCAATGTAGATGATTGCAAGTTCAATAGTTTTTAGAGAATGTCTGAATCGAGATGATTACTAATTATATATGAATATATATACAGCCACAATCCATTAAACTAGAATATCCCTTCTACATATGCCTTATGAATCATTCAAGTAAAATTCATTCGACTTATTTATTGGTTTTTACTAAGAAATTTAAAAATACAGATACTTTTTCTCTAATTAATAAATCTCTTATTTGAGAAGTATCAGCCATTCTGATTTATTATCTAAATAATAATAATAAATTTAAGGACTGCCTAAAATTCAAATTTATAGATAAATATTAAGGTGTATCTGAACAATTTATCATATCAAACAGAAAATTTTAAAGTTTAAGAAAAAAAATAAAATCATTTTAATCTACTCATTATCTTAGTAATCTAATAATTATCTATAACTCTCTAGTTTTTTTATGATGTTAAGATTAAAATTAAACAATAAAAACATCTTCTTAATTTAAAAATTGTTACTGAGTTAACTAACTACCCTTATTAATGGTAAATAAAATATTAAAAAACAAAAATCAAACTAATTATATTTATAAGTTAAATATTTTAGAAATTAATTAAATCCATATCACTTTAATGGTTATTTATAAATTACAATAAATCTAGTATTTTATTAAAGAAAACATATTAGAAAATTTTATTGGTTTAATTCTTTTATGATTTTTATTTAGATCAGTATTAATGAAGTGCATTTATCTATTAAAATTATCATTTAATCTCTATCACAATTAATATCTTAAGTCTTCAAATTATTATTTTTTATGTTTTAAAATTAAATGACATGAGGAATACAAGAGGAAACAACTCTTTAAATTCATTATTAATAATTATAAATAATGTAAAATATAACATTCGAATTTAATAATATTTAATATGAATCTAATCATATTTTTGTGGTATAAGGAAAATGGAATATTATTAGACTAATCAAATGTAGGATGTTAGTTATTATGTAATTAAGAAATTTCAAGTATTAGTCGATGATATAAATATGATCTCATTAAAGATTATACCTTAAGCCAAAGCGAATATTTAAAATTTTAAGTCAATCATTTTAGAAAGTAAAAATTATTCATTTAATTTCTTGATAACACTTTTAAAAATATCAACATAATCTAAATTTAATATTTTTTTTATTTATAATATCATATATTGCATTTTAATTAAAATAAAATAGATTCTATGAATGGTCAAAATAAATTCACCTTTTATCGCTTTTTTTAATTTTTTTTTCTATAAAGAAATAAAATATATAAGTTTGATCTATTATATGATAATAAATTATTAGATTGAAAGAGATACAATTATAATTTAGGATATCTATTTATAGTAAAAATTTGAGATAAAATATGATTATTTTAATAATAAAAAATAAGCATGAGAATCATTGATTCGATATACTGTTAATTTTTGAATGCTAGATTTTCTATCTTATACAATTTATTCTAGCTGTTAGATTTTCGAGATTTTTTTCATCTATCATTTAAGGAACATATTTATATTTTTGTTATGTAATTATTCTCTCTGTTTTAAAAGCTTTCTCTAAAATCTCTTGTGGAACAGGTGAGCCTTTATTTGGTGATAATTTTTGTCTTATACCAGGTTAAGCTGTAGAGGCTTCGGTTCTACTGAATTTGTGTTATGATAATCTATTGTTATTTGAAATTTATTAATCCATAAAAACAAGCATAGGTTATCGTTTTAAGATATCTTAGGGTTAATAATAACCCAAAGGGGGGATATAATTTTCTGTTTTATATTTTTTTCCAAGTCTTGGTGAATTACAAATGTTTGTAGTAAACTTTCTTATTATTCCATCATTAAATTATAACTTTTAATTTAATCCTGTAAGTGGTTTTTACACTTAAAGCTCTGTTTCTATATTTAATTAAAACTTTTTATCCAGCTTACGTAAATTAGTTAAGCTACACCAATCAGAATTACCATGTGTTGAGTAAATCTCTTTTAAAAATCTTACTTTTTTATTTCTATCATTTATAATTTTTAATTTATTACCTTTAAGATGTTTTGGAAGTATTTGATGTTGTTCTATCAAAAATGTGTTCACTTTTTTTTTTATTTGCTCTTGATAAACTTCTTTTTGATAAACCCTTAAGATTTCCTAGTTCATCTCTTTCATCTTTAAATGGAATGAAACCAGTGCCTTCTTGCTCAGCTTTTTCCTATAAAAAATTTAATGCTTTCATTTAATTTATTTATAAACATTAGTATATAATATATATATAAATAATATATCTTAGATCAAATTAAGGATAATGTATAGTGATTCATTTGAATTAAATAATAGATAATTTGTCAATAACATAGAGAAAATGTATAAATGAAATCTAATTATTATTATTTTATCTAAAAATATTATACATTATAATATCTATATGATTATTTTCATTTTAATACTCAAACTCTCTAAAAAACAATTTCTATTGGATTATTATAAATTAATTTAATTGAGAAGGTTATTTTTTAAGGAAATAAGTAAAACCTTAATCAATTAAATTGATTTATATAATAAATATAATATAAATGTAATAAGAGTTAGATTAACCAATATTGTTTATTGATATTGATGAGGATGGGAAATTTCTAATGTCTAAAAAGGCTGTTCAATTTATTTAAGCAATTGAAACAAATATAGCAATAATTTCAATTGTTGGGTAATATAGGACAGGAAAATCATATTTACTAAATAGATTTGCTGGATAGTAAACAGGGTTCACTTTAGGATCAAGCACTAATCCTTGTACAAAAGGAATTTGGATTTGGGGCAAAAGAGTTGAATCAGATAATCTTACAATTCTTCTTTTAGATACAGAAGGATTGAGTAATATTTTTAAAGTAAATCGCAGATTCCTATGAAAGAGACTAAAATAATGATGCTAGGTTGCTTGTTCTTGCTTGTTTGATTAGTTCTACTTTACTTTATAATATTATGTAAGTAATCGATGAGAAATCATTAGAAACATTATCATTTACAACTAATATTAGTAAACATTTATTAGGAGATGATGAATTTATTACTTAATATCTACCATCAATTACTTGGGTAATAAGAGATTTTGGTCTTGATTTATAAGGTTCTACTGCAAACACTTACTTAGAGGAATGTCTTGATGAACAATAAGGTTTTGCAGATGAATTTAAACAACGTAATTTAATTAGATAGGCTATTACTAAATATTTTAAAAGAAGAAATTGTTATACTTTAGTTAGACCTGTAGCAGATGAAAGATAATTAAGAGAACTTGATAAAGTACCATATTCTGAATTAAGATATGAATTTAAAATTTAATTAAATTAACTAATCCAAAATACTTTATTAGATATTTAACCAAAAATGTACAAGAATACTCCTTTAAATGGAAAAAGATTAATTGAATTAGTCACTCAATATGTTACTACAATAAATAATGGAAGTGTTCCAAATATTGAGAATGTATGGGATAGAATTTTATCAAAAGAATTTAATAAAATGATGGAAAAAGCAAAAGAAATTATATCTTCTGATATATCTCTTCCTACAACTTATGAATTATTATTTTCTAATTTACATTAGATTAGTACAAAGGCATAAGAATCTATTTTGCACTATCACATAGCTCCAGATAGATAGATTGAAGGAATTGTTTAATTGAGTAAATAAATAACTGAGAAATCTTAAGTATTATTCTAAGAGAACTATATAAAATCTAAAAGAACAAACTAAGTCATTTCAAAGTATTTTATTTATTAAAATTTAGTAAAATGTATGATATTTTAAATTAACTTTCTGAATAAGGAAAATTAGTTAATGTACAACATATTATTGCTTAAGTTAACAATATTAAAAAAGTATTGAAATATTATGATGAATTTAGATTTATTTTTAGGAAGCTAAACCTCCTTCTAATTATGAATGTTATGTGTAATTTTTAGAATTGGTTATGTAAATTATTGAGAAAGTGTCTAATACAATGTAAATGAATTATTAGAGAAAAGAAGAGGATTATAAATAAGAAATTAATGTTTTAAAAAGTCAAATAAATACTTTATAAGAGATTTTAAAAAGTGAAAAAGAAAATTTACATAAATAATTGGATTAAGTTAAATTAACTTTATAAGAGGAAAGAGTTATGTATGAAAAGAAATTATTAGAATTAGATGGCTCTTCTTAAATTGAATTTAGAAAAGGGGAATTATTTGAAAATCCTGATTTATTTATGAAAAAGGAATTAAAGAATCAATAATTATAATCATAACAAACTTTTAATTTAACTTTAAAAGATATTAATTAAAAATTTATGGATTTAAAGGAAAAATTAGATGATATTTATGAATCAAGAGTAGAAATAGAAAAAGAGAAAATATATAATAAGGCAATATATGAATGTAAAGAATAAAATTAAGCCTAAATTGATAGAATTAAATTGACTTATGAAAGTGAAGTTAAGATTTTAAAAGAAGATAGATTAAGATTATAAGAATAAAGAGAACTTTTATAAATTTAATTGACACAAAAAGATTGTGAATATTAAATCTTAAAAGAAAGATTAAAATAAATTGAAAAATAAAAAACAAAAGATATAGAACATGCAGATATGTTATGTAAAATAAGTGATTAGTTAGTTAAAGCATTAAAAAAATTAGAAAAAAAAAAAATTTGATTTATCATATATTTTAATTTAATTGTATGTTTATCATTATAAAATATTACAGTTATAATATTAATCAATATTTATTTACTAACTCTATTAAATTATTATCCTATACTAATTCATCAAAATAATCAGTAAAACCTTTTCAATTATATATACTATTTAAAATTTGTAAAATTTAGTTAGTGTTTCATATAATAGTTTTGGTCGGAGTATTATTTCAACTTTAGCATCTTCTATTCTAAAGTTTTAATTTATCATTTCTTAATAAAGTGATAGAAAATCAATATTACTTTGCTAAAAGATATTTAAAGAGTATTTAAGGGTCTTGATTTCTCAAATTTTAAGTAATTAATCTAAATACTTATTTAAATCCAACTTAATTTTATAATAATATTACAAAATAATCCTGTAATCCTGTTTATCTGAGATCTTTTATTTATTTATTTATAAATTCTGTTATATTTTTTGATTATTATACAAATTCAGTAATATTATATATAATAAAATTTATAAGGTTATTTGAGTTTCAAAAAAATAGTTTAATATTTGATAATTTTTGATTTTTGACTATTATTTATGATTTAAATATTGATTGAGATACAAATATCGATAAGTAGTAAATCAATTTTTAATTAATATAAATAAATAAAAAATTATAAAAAATAAATTTAAATTTTATAAATAAAATAGTCATTAATACGTCTTTTATAATAATTTAAAATTATATAGAATAGAATTTAATCCATATCTTTGATAAATCAATACTAAAATAGTGTTTATAAGGAATCAAAAAGAAATATAGATTGAATATTAATTAATTTACAAAATGTTAAAGCCACAAGTAATCGAAAGTCAACAGAATTTAATTTGCATGAATAAACATGACCTACCAATCAGTCAGGTAGTGTGGGATCCTAAACTAAAGTATGATCAACGATTATTGTGTACTCAATGTGTTGAAGATTATGAGAGTGAAACCAGAACCATGGGATACAAAAAAGTATTCCAAATAATAGAAGAAAAATAAAGAATGAAAATTCAGGAATATGAGAATTTACTTATGCCTCACATCAATTCTGTATTATAATTTCAAACAGCTATTAATACTCTTAAATAAAACATAATATAACAATTAGATTAATTATAAAGGATTTCTGAGGATTGGATAAAGAATCTAGAATCAACTAAACAAGAAATATCTAAATACTCATTTTTTTAGGAATTAGATAAATTAATCAAAAATGAATAAAATAATTTTGATGAAAATAAATACAAAAAAGAAATCTAACTAATTCATACCGAATGGAGTAATCAATTAACTGAAAAATTAGATTTGTTCAAAAATTTTTAATAATACAATGATTGTCAAGAGATTCTAAAGAAAATAAATTAAGTAGAGGAATCACTCTAACTTTCTCCACCTCTTTCTCCAATTAAATTACTTTCAGAAAGATTCTCAATTAAACTACCAACTTAATCCAAATCATCCAATTAATTATCAAACCTACTTGGAAATTCTTAAATTGCAAATAGTCCTTTTACATATTAATTGCTACCTTAAATGAGTCATAAACAAACATATTTTTGTAGAGCAATAGCAATCAATCATGATAATAGCTTAATTATAGTGGCCTGTAATTCTAATATCAAAATTATGGAAATCCTGTTAGATTCATAATTATAATTGTCATCATCCACAATAAACTCAATAAATGAAATAGAAACAAAAAAAACTCCAAAACTATTATAATTATTACAAGGTGAGCATTAAGATTTTGTGAACACTCTAAATTTTTTCAGAAATACTCCTTCTATGCTTAATTCTTTCCTATCAGGTTCAAAAGATTCAACAATAATTATTTGGTCTCCAATAAATTTCTCTTCTTAATTGTAACCTATTTTATGGGGTCCATTATTTAAATTAAATGGACATTCTAATAGTATTAGATGTTTGATTATTCATCCACTTTCTGAGGATCTAGTAATTTCAGGTAGTGATGATAGTTCTATTAAATTTTGGTCATGTGCAACATTTTTCTAATAAAAATGTTAATGGACATGTTAATAGACTATAAATGAACATTTAGATTGTGTTTGGGGATTGTCTTTAAATGAAGATGGAAATAAATTAATATCTTGTGGTGAAGATAAATAAATATTAGTGATGGAATTATCTAATAAGTAATAATGGGAAGTAAAATAGAAAATTTAGGTTGAAATCTAAGGGATGCGAATATGTTTTATAAATAATAATTAATTTTCTTTTTAAGCATGTTCAGGTAAAGCATTACCAAATTTACATATATATACACTCAATCCATCTTCAGGATTGTTTTCAAAAAGTAAAGATATCTTAGTGTATGGAGGAGGACAACCATGTGTTTTCTATTTTCCTTAATAGTATATTCCATCTAAATAACTCTTAATTTCAAAAAATGGATGCTATGTAAATTTAATAAGATTTTAATTTTCCTCTTTTGATGAAATTTAAGAGAGTTAATTAGAATAATCAATTCACTTTGGTATCGAATGTGATGGAGAAATATTCGGAACCATGAGTGAAGATGGGGAGTTTTTAATTACTTGGGACTCCAAATCAAAAGATGTTCAAATTAGATAGTATATTGAGAGAAAGCAATGAATAACAAAAATTCATTGAATAATTTAAAAGCAATGAATATCTAATATTCATTCAATAATTTAAATTTAATTTACTATAACATCTAATGTATAGTAAATAATCAAAAATATTCTATTCTAATAAAAGTTATATAATTATTAATATAAAGTACTACTAAATCAAAAATTAATTGTATTCTCTTCATTCTTATTAAGTTCTTTGTCTGATTTCTATTATTTTTGTAATTTTATCATAAATTATAATATATTCGCCATTTTCACTCGCAGTTCCAAATATAATGTTATTTTCAAATTTTATTTATTATTGTAATTTATATTGTAAATTCTTCTTGTTTATTACATCTTGATTATTGATATCTTAAATTTAAGTTAATTCAATAATATTCAGATATTATCCATTTTTAACAATAAGATTGTTATTAGATGTTATATACTGGAGAGGAAACTAATGCCAACATGCTTAATTTCCACCTTTAACAGGAATCTTATATAAATTATGGAATAAATCTTCAGATGGATTCTGTTTATATATAAGAAGATGAGTGCCTTTGAGTGGTTGAAATGCAAACATATTATTATTTATAAAGCACAAACGATATCCATAATTGTTCAATTATATCTTCTATACTACTAACCATTAAGATTTATGAGATCCTTTCATTATTATTATCTAATTATCACAACTACAAGAAATCAATTTATTCCCATCTGGACTCAGGGATATTTGAAAAATAAAATCATTATGTTCTTCCATTGTTTAAACACATGACCATGACGATTATTGTAATGACCAAAATTTAATTGTTTTATCATCTGAAGCACTAATTATTAGATCTTCTTATTAAGGATGTACTATTATAAATTTAATATCATTAGAATGTCCATTTAATTAATGTGTATATTTTGGGTTGGACATCAGATTGCATGCCCAAATTATAATTGTTCCATCCCTTGAACCCGATATGAGAAGGGGTTTCTTTTTGAAGAATTTAAGAATTAATACATTACTACAATGCTTCATTAAATCTTAGAGTTTTTTAGTCTTTCCATTTTTGAATTATTAAATGTTAACATTAAATTTTGATCCAAGCGCAAGTAAATTATTTTTGTCATTAATAGCAATATCCACACAAAAATGATCATAAGGCTATGTATTGATTACTTTATAAGTTTGATTCCTAAAATATTTATTTCCCATATTTACGTTTAAATATTATTACAAATTCTATAAACTCTATTTGTTTATAAATTTAATATATTAAATATTAAAATTTTGATAATAATTCCATATTTTTATAACATTTTATTTTTATTTAAAATTTCTTTTATAATATCATCCATATTCAGTCAAGAACTACTTCCCTTATAACCATTGTGAAGGTATAATCTATCATTAAATTTATATCCTTATTAAATTTAAAGAATATGAAATAATAAACTATTTTTAAACTTTATTATTAAATATAAATATGGGATATTGATATTTGAAATTTTGAGAATAATTCAAGTCTATTTTTGGATTGATAATAAACAAAAAAAATAATAATATATAAAATTGAAATCTTCAATTTTTGAAATTGTTTTTTTATATTTACAAATCTTTGAATTTTATGAATTCTAATTCCATAATAAGATTAAATATAATCTGAGAAAATATTTAAGGTGTACAAAATAAATCAATTGATTATAAATACAAATATTTATAAAAATATTAAAAATCTGTCTATGTTTTTCATCATTATTGATTATTAAACCCTTAAAAAAGATCTCTAAGATGATTTTATTATTAAGTTTCATCTATATTTTCAAATATTGTATCCTTTAATGTGAATGGTTCTTATTTATTTTGTTTAACATTTTCGATTATTTTTAATAGATTCTCACACATTTGATTATCATTTTAATTTGAATTTTAGCTAAAAACTATTCGATCTTCATTATTTTTCAAAATAAATTTAAGTTATTGTTTTAAATTGTTTTTATCTTCATCTTAATCTTCACTTTAATCAAAATGAGTAACTGCTATAATGATTAAATCTAAATAGCGATGAAAATATTTAATCACAGATAATAAGCTTCTTTTCATAAGATCTGTTCTTTCAAATTTAACACTCACAACAATAGAAACTATTTGTCTTTTTTTATTAATTTTATTTTCACAAATATTCTGAAAATCATTGATAAATTTTTCTCTATTTTCTATTGATTCCTCTAAATCCATTGCAGGAATATCAACAAAGGAAAATTGATCATTATTTTTCAATTTCTTATATAAATTTGTTTTCCCTGAACCTGGAGATCCAATAATTAAAACATAATCATTATTTTTCCTTGAAGAATAACAACCCATAAATAATATATTGTTATTATCCTTGATTGTTTGGCTCTTTTTATTTCAAAATATAATTCTATTAAAAGTTAAAATGGAAATAAATATCCCCATATATAATAACTTTATGGAAATTGTGTTGTAAAATAATGCAGATTATGTATAATTGAGAAGCAAATACAATTAATACTTTATTTAAAGAACACTTGTGACTTATATAATTATATTGAAATAAATATATTAATTGTAAAATTAGAAAAGCTCAAATTCAATATTATTTTTGATATGTCTAATTATTTGATTTTCCAGAGGCAGTTAAATTAGGATCACCTATATTATTATAATTTTAAATTAAGCTTCCTCCATTTTGTTGCATATTCTATGTGACCCTTACATCAGTAGGATTGAATTAAGTAGTCTTAGGATATATACTTTATAATTTATATTTCGTCTAGTTTTAGAAATCACTAAAAATAAATTAAACACATACATAGCTTTATTTTTAATCTCATATTAATCAGGAATTCGATAATATTTTGCCTACTTTATTTGTTGTATTTATTATTCAATCACTTCAACTTAAGGAATTAGTTAATTTAAAAGATTTTAATTAAAGACAAAATCTTAAGTTTATTATAAAGCAAACTATTTAATACTTACCTTCTACTATAAGCTATTCTAAATATAATTATTTATTAATTATTATTATTATCCCTATCCAAATTCATTATAGAAACTCTTGAGCATATTTTATACTTTATATCTCTCTTCCATAATACAATGTTAAGCTTAAATACCCTTATGTTCTTTATCTAAATCATAATGGATTGAATTTGAAATATTTAATTGTAAAATCACTTTATTTATGCTTAAAGTTATTGCTGGATGATTAGGTTCATTTACAAAATACTATTAAATTGCTTTCATCGAGTACAATAGATTTATAATATTTTAAAAGTCTTGATATATATAGTATTGAATTAAAGCTTACTCTTCTTAAAATGATTATTATTCATAAATTTGTTATTATTAAACAGGTCCTCTTGATTACTAATAGCCTTACATTAGTAAAATAATAATATAAATAAGAATTAGTCTTCCATTAATCTTTAAACTTAAGTTAATAGAATAAAATTATATCCTATTACATTATATTTTTATTTATTAAATTACTACATTAATCAAGTTATGACTTTTAAGAATACATTGATTATTCTAAATACAAACTTATTGAATAATAATTCTATATTATGAAACTATATTGCAATTTTTTTTAAATGATATTAAGTAAATGAATGAAGTTATTTATAAAAAAATATTCTATTGAAAATTAAAAATTTTGTTGCTCATATCAAATAGATAAATATAAGGTGTTAACAAAAGTAGAATGTATATTTTTAAAAGAATAAAAAAAAATCAGTAGTTATGAATATAAAATAAAATAAGAGATCAATCATTAAGTTCATAGTCAAACCTTTAAATATTATTTAAAATAAATTTATTTGATATTTCATAATTTGAGATTACTCGATTTCAATAAATTTCTTTATTTTGTTATAAAAATATATTTGTAAAATTTCAGAAATTTATTTATTTATAATTTAAAATTAAACAGTTATAGAAAATTAAAATATCTAAAATACTCAATGAAATTCACAGAAATCAACTAAATTTATTACTTTATGAAGATTTTGTTAATTTATATGAATATAATAATATAATCATAAATTTACACAATTGATAGTTTTTTAATAGAATATCTTAATCTCTAATTTCCATTTATAAAATACTCATAATTTAATGAATATAATTTTATAGGATGAAATATAGTACTTGATTTTATTCAAATAATGGTAGAGATTGCTTACAATAGTTAAATCATTACATCAAAAATTAATAAATATTAAATAATATTTAATTATTATGTTTATGTTCTATTATTTTATTGATTGCTCAATTATGAATATATATTGATTTTAAACCAATGATATTTATTAATTAAAATAATGAATAAGCAAAACCATATAAAATTAATGGATGAAGATTCATAGATTTAATAAGCAATAAATTTAGATTTTGATATAGATTAAAAATTGTGTTAAAAATAAGAAAAATTAAACTTAGAGAATACAGTGATATACTTTCCTCATAAACCTTATGATGTTTAAATAAAGTATATGGAAAGTGTTGTCTAAATATTAGATAAAAAATTTAATGGATTGTATTATTTATTAATTATGAAAAATTAGATTAGAATCTCCAACAGGAACAGGTAAAACTTTATGTTTATTATGTTCATCAATGGGTTGGTTAAAAAAGCATAGAGAAGAATAATTGAAATCGAATAATTCTAACAATTTAAAAATTATTTATGCTTCAAGAACACATTCACAATTAAAATAAGTAGCCTAAGAATTAAAGAGAACTGTTTATAAGCCAAATATATCGATGATAGGTTCAAGAGATTAATATTGTCTAAAAAACTTTTAAAATTTAAAAGGAAATTCTTTAATATAAGCATGTAGAAAATTAGTAAAAGGAAAGAAATGTTAATTTTATGACAAAGAATTTTTACCAATTATAGCTGCAGCAAATAGTAAATTGATCAATACTTTAGAAGAAACTAAATAATTTGGATTTAAGAATGAAGTATGTCCTTATTACTTTGAAAGAGAAAGATTAATAAATGCTGATTTAATAATGATACCATACAACTATTTATTAGATAATGAATTTTCAAATATTGTTGATGTAAAAAATTCAATAATTATTTTTGATGAAGCTCATAATGTTCCCTNATTTATTACTTTATGAAGATTTTGTTAATTTATATGAATATAATAATATAATCATAAATTTACACAATTGATAGTTTTTTAATAGAATATCTTAATCTCTAATTTCCATTTATAAAATACTCATAATTTAATGAATATAATTTTATAGGATGAAATATAGTACTTGATTTTATTCAAATAATGGTAGAGATTGCTTACAATAGTTAAATCATTACATCAAAAATTAATAAATATTAAATAATATTTAATTATTATGTTTATGTTCTATTATTTTATTGATTGCTCAATTATGAATATATATTGATTTTAAACCAATGATATTTATTAATTAAAATAATGAATAAGCAAAACCATATAAAATTAATGGATGAAGATTCATAGATTTAATAAGCAATAAATTTAGATTTTGATATAGATTAAAAATTGTGTTAAAAATAAGAAAAATTAAACTTAGAGAATACAGTGATATACTTTCCTCATAAACCTTATGATGTTTAAATAAAGTATATGGAAAGTGTTGTCTAAATATTAGATAAAAAATTTAATGGATTGTATTATTTATTAATTATGAAAAATTAGATTAGAATCTCCAACAGGAACAGGTAAAACTTTATGTTTATTATGTTCATCAATGGGTTGGTTAAAAAAGCATAGAGAAGAATAATTGAAATCGAATAATTCTAACAATTTAAAAATTATTTATGCTTCAAGAACACATTCACAATTAAAATAAGTAGCCTAAGAATTAAAGAGAACTGTTTATAAGCCAAATATATCGATGATAGGTTCAAGAGATTAATATTGTCTAAAAAACTTTTAAAATTTAAAAGGAAATTCTTTAATATAAGCATGTAGAAAATTAGTAAAAGGAAAGAAATGTTAATTTTATGACAAAGAATTTTTACCAATTATAGCTGCAGCAAATAGTAAATTGATCAATACTTTAGAAGAAACTAAATAATTTGGATTTAAGAATGAAGTATGTCCTTATTACTTTGAAAGAGAAAGATTAATAAATGCTGATTTAATAATGATACCATACAACTATTTATTAGATAATGAATTTTCAAATATTGTTGATGTAAAAAATTCAATAATTATTTTTGATGAAGCTCATAATGTTCCCTCAACTGCTGAAGATGGTTAATCATTTTATATTAATGATAACATTGTTTAAGAAGCAAAAAAAGAATTAGAAAGATGGTTGAAATCATTAGATGAAATACCTGATTTTTTAACAGGTTTCTAAAATGTATTAAGCTAGAAAAAACAATTTTCAAAAATTGGAATTAAAATAAATGAATATGAAGAAATTGTTTAAACAATTGAAGCTTTTTTAAAATTTTTGAAAAGTTTGTTAGAATCTACTTATTTTAATTCTTACGATATAGAATAATGCAAAGTATTTAATGCTTAATAGATATTTAATTTCCTTTATGAAAATACTTCAATAAATAAAAAAAATAATGATTCATTATTTTCAAATGGAATTAATGAGAATAATATCTCTATATATATCGAATATTGTTAAGCAATAATTAATTATATGAGTGAAATATCTCCACTTGAGGGTTCTAATTTACAATCTTGGACTAGATTTTTAATGAATCTTGATAATTTCACATAAGATAATGAAGATAATTAAGATAATGAATAATTAAATTATTATGACTTCTATAAGTTAGTAGTTAAAAAGAATAATTAGAATTAAATATCTTTGAATATGTGGTGTTTAGATCCATCTTTGGCTTTTAAAAAATTGTTAAGTCAAAATATCCACTCTATAATATTAACTTCAGGTACATTATCTCCTATGGAATCTTGGTAAAGTGAATTAAAAATGGAGTTTTAGATTCAATTAAGTAATAAACATGTAATAGACATTACAAAAAATGTTAGAGCATTTGTACATTAAATTTATGATTTCTCTTATAACAATAGAAATGATGAAAAATAAATTATCAAATTAGGAGAAACCCTACTAAATTTTGCATAAATTATAAAGGGTGGCATTATTGTTGTATTTTCTTCATATACTCTTATGTAATAAATATAAAAGAAATGGTCTAATTAAAAATTGATATGGAGACTAAATGAAGTGAAAAAGTGTTTATGGGAAGAATAAGGAAGTTCTTAATTTCATAATACATTAGAAGTTTTTAAATAAAATGTTTAAAAGGGAGCAATTTTATTTGCAATTCATAGGGGAAAAGTTACAGAAGGAATTGATCTTCCTGATGACTTATGTAGAGCAATATTTTTAATTGGAATTCCATATCCTCCATTATAAGATTAAAAAGTAAAATTAAAGAAAGAATATTTAGATAAACACAGGTAAGGTTTGTCTAGCAAAGATTGGTATGATTAATAAGCAATTAGAGCAACTAATTAAGCAATTGGAAGAGCTGTTAGACACATTAATGATTATGGGTATTGATTTTTACTTTATTTAGTGCTATATTTCTATGTGATAAGAGATTTTAATGGTCGAATATGAAGAATGGAATATCAAAATGGGTTTAACCAGCAATCAAACCTTGGAGAACTGATTAAGATATTGATGAGAATATTAAATTGTTCTTTTAAAGATAAACTCAATAAAGAAATGTAATAATGCATTAAAATATTGAAAATCAATAAATTAACTAAAATTCTTAAGAATAAGTATAAAGAAATATTTATTAGGAAACATAGAATTAATTTAATTAATCTTTTAGATAATCTTCTGAGAAATAACCTTAACATAAATTTTAATCTCAATAATAATAAAAACAAAATTAATAAAAGTTTGGTATTTAATATAAAGATTATCATAATAATAATTAAAAATAAAAGTGGCTTTTGGATGAATTATCAGATTAAGATATGAAATAATTTATAGATTAAGACGAAGAACCATCTTCTATTTTATAAAAATATGAATTGGTAGATTAAAAGTAAGAGTTTAATTCAGAAGAATCATCAGACTAATCTGACTTTTAAAAAGAATCATAAGAATAATCTGACTTTTAAGAAGAATCATAAGACTAATCTGAATTTTCACAGGAATCATCAGAGTAATCTGAATTTTCACAGGAATCATCATAATAGTTTCAATATTCAAAAGAATCATCTTAAGATTATAGTGATCCAAAAGAAGCATAAAGATAAAAAAAAATAAAATACAATAAACCTTAATAATATCAAAAAAGAAAATATAGACTCAATTGAATTTGAAGCAATATTAAAAATTAATATTATGATAGAATTTATTTTAATATAAAAACAAGACTTAGAGATTCTAAAAGTACAAATAAAAATTCAAAATATTAGTTGATCTGAGATTAAAAAAAGTATTAACAATTTCTAAAGCACTTATCATTATTTAATTTTAAAGAATAAATATAGTATTATAATTTAATATTTCATTCATGAATATATTTTCTAATTTATATTTCTTTTGAATTATTATCCCAAGAAATTAAATATTCACCATCCTCACTTAATGTTCCAAAAACTTAAGAACTATTAAAATGAATTGAGTAATTCATAAGATATTCAAAATTCTAATTAAATTGAACAAAATTCACATGTGTTCCATTTTTATTTACTAAGAATGATTTCTATTTGATAAATATCTAAGGGAAAAATAAATCACAACCATTTCCATTCATAATTGATATTTCTTTTGTTTTACTATATAAATTATCATTTATTTGATAGATCTATAATTTATTACTATTAATAGGTTAAAAACTAAAGGAATTTTTATTAATGTAACATATTCTATAACCAAATTATTCTACTTTAATAATTTAAATGACAACCCATATCTTATTTACTTATTGAATTACTAATATTGTATTATCCTTACCACATGAAATTAATGTATTTTATTATTCATTTAAAGATAAACTATAAATACAATCTTTATGAGCATTTATAGTTTATATTTATAACCATTCATTTTAATTTCCCCAAAATATAATTGATTTATCTTTACTTCCAGAAATAATTAAATCCTCTTTATTATTTATAATTAAACAATAGATTTAATCTTTATGTAGATTTAGAGTTTATAAAGAGATCCATAAATTATTTGATATTTTTGTCCAAATTCTTATAGTATTATCATCACTACCAGAAATTAAAGAATTAGAATGTACCATAAAAGATAAACAATTAATATTTTTTGTATGTTCACTTAACACTTAAGTTTCATTTAATTATCCATCTTTGAATTCGAAAATCTTGATTTTTTCTTAACATCCAACAGCAACTATTTATTAATCCATATTGATAGCTATTGTATTACAGATATCTGTTTGTTTGATTGAAAATTTCTAAATCAATTCATATCTAAAAGTATTCTTTTTATTACTTTATAGTGAATTATTTTAAACTAAATTATGTTGATTAATATAGATTGAATGATTTAGGTTATCTTCATTAAAATATTTTAATTTTGTTTCTATTTCATGAATGAAATTTGATTTTTCAAATAAATAAATTTTGTTTAATAGATTGTCTTTAATATTTTAATAGTTAGGTAATTAAGTTTTAATTTGTTAATAATTACTAATAAATTAATTAGCATCAATTATTGGAATTTAACTAAGTAATGATTTAAATGTTTTTGTTGACTTTTTGATTAGATTTATCTATTAATTAGTATCATTAATCAATGATTCTAAAGCAACTATTAAATATTATTTATGTTAAATCATATTTTCCTTTATTTAATAAAGCAATGCAGAATTATTCCTACATCTTTCTTCATTTTCTTAGATTAAGATATTTTATTATCTCTAAAACTATATTATGAATATTTTATGAATACCTCCTCATTCTTAAATTCAGCAACACAAAATTGACATAAGTTCTTAAACAAGGAAAATGTCTATGATGTATTGTAGAATATTGGAATTTAATCATGTTTGATACATTTCTCATTGCTCATTTTTTTAATTAATAAACTTAAATTAAATTGGTGATGAGAAATATATATTAAAAATCTTGTTTTATATTTTATATATGTTAAGATAATTTAAAATTATTTGCAACCAGTTCTTAAATATTTACACAAAATTATGCAATTAGTATTTGATAATTTATTCTTATTAAATAGAATCGATGAAAAAAATTTATAAAAAAAGAAAGAAATTAATACACTAATATTGTAAATATTTTTAAATTAATTATGATAATAATTATTTTTAGATAAAATTTGATATCAATTCTACAAATAATAACATTGTGGTTAAAAAATTAGAATGAAATTAACCTAATATAAAATTCTCTTTCCTCAATAATTATATCTAGCTTTTATAACTATATAGAAGTAATTAATAATTTTATAAAATCAAAATTATTTTTTAGTTCAAGTTCAATAACTATTCCTTTGAAAATATAAGAATTACTCCTTCCATCTTAGAAAGATAAATAATAAATTTCAAATTTGAATTTGAATCATATTAAATATTATCACTTTTATTATAATTGGTCATTAATTCTTTTTCCGTATCACTATAATTAACAAATTAAATATTACTATTTCAATGAAAACTCTAGGAAATCTATCTAATTTTCAAATGATTTAAATTATTTATTTTATCATCTCTTGTGAAAATATCACATAATCAAACCTTTTATACTTTTTCATATAGGCTCTTCATTAATAATACTTAAAAATATTCTATATAACATTTTTTTGAAGTTCTAGAAGCTTCACTAATTTTGATCCATTTTTTAATTTTTTTGATTTCATTTCTATTTTAATTTTCCTTTAATGAAAATTAATTGTAATTTTTTATAGTATGAATTATAAAAATGAATTTATTCACCACATATCAAAATTTGTCTGATTATTATTATTCTAAATTGAAAAAATACATTCGTTTTTTAATTAGCAATTTAATTTTGAAATGATGGGAACAATTTTTAATATTAACAAGAGATTTACTAATTTAAATCAAATAGATATGGAAATAGAAAAAGGTTAGAGTGAGAGAAATAACAAAATCACTTCTTTCTCTAATATTGCTTTTAGAATATATATCTACAATAGTATATATATTTTATATTTCATTTAAATTCAGGTTGTATAATATATTAAGGATTACAATATTAACATATACTCTCTCTATATTAAGCCACTATTATAATTAATGATATCTAAATGAATAATTTGAGTATATTTCTTTTTTTCCTCTTTTTGAAAAGTTTTCCAATTTTCCTCCCTTTTTTTTATTTGTTAAATAATTCATTAAAATTAAAATTTGATTTCTTGAATCATTTACTAAATTATTTCTAAAGGAAATCTGTACCAAAATTTAGAGATCAACTAATAATTGATTATAAAATTCAACTTCTAATAATACTTCATATTTATTATAAAATTATATCAATTATTAATTCATTTTTTTGATGTTTATGGTAAATTTAAATATAATACTGTTTAAATAGATTAGTTAAATATCTGTAGTATACTGAAAATTTGAATTTCAAACTGAAAATTCATTATTTAAAAAAACTTAGAATAATTATATAATGTGCATAATTTTATTTTAAATAATAATTTAAACATTATAATCATTATGATTTCAGAAAGTATTCTCTCAAAAGAATTAATAGAAGTATAGTCAACCTTAAGGCCATAAAACTTATTTAATATTTAGAACAGAAGTGAATACTGTGGGTAACATAGTGGTATGATGTGTAATAATAAAAATAAAAGAATATGAATTAGAATTTAAAAATTGGGATTCTGTAACGAATAGAAAGATAAAAACTAAGATTCAAATAATATCAACTAAAGAGAATATGATTAAGTATACTTTAGATGGATAAATTCTTAGAATGTAATTTACTTCAATTAAAAATAAGAGATTAAGGAAGAGATCTCCCTCTAAGAAATTAAGTTTGGAATAATTTTGAATAAATAAAATATCTTGCATGGTTTGAAGAAATCGGAAAGAGCAATTAGAAAAGTAGCAAATGGATCGCTATCTGGAAAGGAGAAGTTCTTAGTAATGTTGGTGGATACATTGAGAATAATTTAAAGCAAGGTTTATGGAATCAATTAATTGATAATTATTGGAGGTAATTATTTATCAGCATTATTATAGTCAAGCTTAAGTATTTCAATCTGGAGAATACTGTAATAATTATAAGATTGGAACTTGGAAATACATTTATAATTAAAAAATAATGTATTATAATTGAATAACAACTAGTGGTGGAGGATAATTTAATTAGTTTGGGTAGAAAAATGGAAAATGGATAGAGCTGTGTAAAGGGTTTTATCATTATTCCTAAGTCACATATAGTGGTGAATATAAAAATGGTAATAAAATTGGGAGGTGGGATATCTGGCATCATCATCATAGATATCATGAAGATTTTGGGAATAAATAAATGTAAATATTTAAAACTAAATGTTCAGTGGTGGTGGATTTTATAATGTAGCTGAAATAGGTTCAATTAAAAATGGATGGTGGATTGAGATAAGTGATGGATTTGATGATTTCTAGGTCACATATCATGGCTAATATAAAAATGGTAACAAAATTGGCAAATGGGATATTCTGTATCATAGAGATGATTAAGAATAAAGGAGTGAATAAATGTAACTATGTGAACACCAAATATTAGTGGTGGTGGATTTTATGAAGAGGTTGGAGAAAGTTCAATTAAAAATGGGAGATGGATTGAGATAAGCGAAGGATTTAATAATGATTCCGAGGTCACATATAATGGTGAATACAAAAATGGATAAAAAATTGGCAGATGGGATATTTATTTTAGAGATTAAGAATCAGAACAATTTTAATAGATGTAAATATTAATAATACATTTTATAGAGGCGGTGGATCATATGGAGATTAGATAGAGGGATATTCTGTTAAGATAGGGAGATGGATTGAATTGAGTGATGGATTCTGGATTCACTCATAAATTACATATGAAGGTGATTATTAAAATGGTGAAAAAATTGGGAGATGGAATACTTATTGGAATTATGAAGGAAATAATTCACAGTTGTAATACTTATATGATATTAATTTAATATAGAGGTGGTGGATATTATAGAGAAGGGATAGGAAGTGATTGCACTAAAAATGGGATTTGGATTGAACTGAGTGATAGATTTTGGTGCCATCGTTAAGTAATCTTTAAAGGGGTATATAAAAATGGTAAAAAAATTGGAAAATGGGAAACCTATTATAAAGAAAAAGAGTAAGAAGAATATAAATAAATGTAATTTATGAATCAAACTTTAGAGGAGGTGGATCATATTAAGATTAAATTGAAGGAAATTCAATTAAGATTGGAAAATGGACTGATTTGAGTGATGAGTTTTATAATTAATCAGAAGTTTCTTATAGAGGTGAATATAAAAATGGTTAAAGAATAGGAAAATGGGATATTTGTTTTAAGAAAAAAAATTAGGTAAAATTGTAATATATGTAAATAATTAATAAAATTAATAAGTGGAGGAGGATCATATATTGAGTAGACAGAAGGAGTTTCAAGCAAGATTGGAAGATGGATTGAGTTAAATGATGAGTTTGTAAATTTTTACTAGATCAGCTATTTTGGTTAATATATAAAAAATGGTCAAAAATTTGGAAAATGGGATATTTTTTATAGGGAGAATTACCAGGAAGAATTATTATAGATGTAAATACAAGAATAAAATTTATTAGCGGAGGTGGATCATATGATATATGGATAGGAGGAAGTTCAATTAAAGTAGGGATGTGGATTGAACTAAATGATAGATTTAAATGGGATTTGCAAGTGATAGAAAAAGGTGAATATAAGAATGGTAAAAAATTTGGTAGATGGGATACTTTTTTTAGGCTATTATGGTAATAAGAATTTAATTAGATGTAAAAATAAATAAATAATAAAATATAAGAGGTGGCGGTTCATATTATGATTCAGCAAAAAATGGTTCGATTAAAATTGGGAAATGGATTGAATTAAGTGATAGGTTTGCTAGCTATTTTTAAGTCATATGTAGAGGAGAGTATACTCATGGGAGAAAAGTTGGTATATGGGTTGAAGAGGAATGGAAGCGTAAATGGCTAATAGAGGAAATAAAATATGATTACCAATAATGAAATAAATTTTTATTCTAATCATATTATCAAATTTTTAATCGGTTTTAAATCATGAAATAAATGTTCTTAATTACTTTTTTTATCAATGATTTTGTTTATTTTTCAAAATTGCTACTTTATAATGAATCTTTTTTTACTTAATTCATTATGCATTTTCTTACAGTATAATTAACAGTAAAATTTATAAAAGCACTAAAATTTATTCCTAATTTATTAATTTAACAAATAATTTTAGATTTTGAATATTGTAAAATCCTTTCATATAAAAAGAAATTAAAGATTATAATTGCTTAATATATTTTTTATAGTCTAATATATATTTGATCAAGTAAATATTTACTAAAAATCATGAATTAATTTATTTAAATTTTGGTTTTTCTTTATTTTCATCGATGCTGAAAAATTGTTATCATATATTTGTAATTAAAAATAATAATTAATAAATCAAGACTAATTTGATAATAATAATTCAAGGGGATCTTATATGATTTGTTCATTCTCTAAATCTATCGAATTAACTGGTTTTACTGTTAATCTATTTGATTCTTTAAAATTCTCAAAATAAAGATTATTATTTTATAGTTTTCCTCCTAATTAATGACTCTATATTAAGACTTAATCTCCAAATTGCTACTAAATTATAAATTAAATTCGTGATATTTCATATAAAATATTATTAAGTCTACATTTTTCTTAAGCTCTTTACAATAATAATTAATATTTTAATTTAAAATCTTAAATTGAATACTTTATGTTTAAGTCTGGACTTTTTTTGATTTCACATTAATTTAAGATGTTAAGCTTTACATTCTTTAATTCAGGATAATACATAATTATAATTTAATGAAGCAATTAATTTTCAAGTAATTTTTTATTATAAAACAAAGCTATGTGTTTTAATATAAATATTAATTAGACAATAGAACCAACTTAAGCAAGAACTTGACCTAGTTTTGGTAATGTTACATGTTCTTTAATAGATATATTATCTAATCTGAATAAATAGCATCCTAAATTTGTGAAATTTTTAGGACTTAATGACATTGATGATACAACTTTAGAGGCAAAGTAAGGATCAACCTACTAGTTTATAAGTTCATAATTATTTATGAATTAAAAACTTTGGTAATTATTAAACAATATACCATTATCTATAATAGTTTCTTACTATTTCAACATAACTTATGAGTAGGTAGGTATATTAATATCAAAAACTGTGTAATATTATTTATTAAATTCTTCTAATTATCTTGTCATTCGATTTAGTTATTTTAATTTAATATTTAAAAACAGAAATCCATGATATTATGATAAATAATCATTAATAACATTCTAATCAGCACAGTAGCTGCCATCTTTTAAAGTATTATTAGAACACTTTTCAAGAACAAGTAAATATTGTTTCATTTCTAAATGATCAAATGTTGGATAAAGTTCATGATTTAAAACTAAAGTGAGATTGTCTATGGATATTGTAAATGGTTTGTCTTCATTACTAAATAAAGGAATAGGTTCATTATCAATTGTTGTATTAGTAATTATATATAAATGTGGTGTGATAATATTATTTTATTTTCTGAAAGGATCTACATCACCTGTGAAATCTAATAAAATCAATTCAATCATTGATTATTATAATTCAAATTGAGCATATCCAATTGTTTCTTATTGAAAACTTATATTAGGTGGTATTTAATTATTTATCCATTATATAATTACATATAAAAAATATGCAAAACTAACGCTACCTACAATCAAAGTAATAATTCCTCCGACTTTACTTTGAAATTAATAAGCCTTTTCATTAGTAAGTAAATGAATAGGAACTCCAAATATATCCATTTTATCAATAGTATTCAATGCTTTTTTCATAATTAATTAAAAATCAAATTTAAGAATCGTAAATTCCTGTTTTAAATTATTATATATTAAATTAAACTAAATTAATTTGGCTCTCTTGTTAACCATAAATATTAATCTTAAGAATAATGAAATTAAATAATCAAAAAGGTGAAATGTATTAACGATAAAAGTGGAAAATTAAACTTTTATCATTAAATTAATATTTTCAAATAAAACCTTTTATATATATTAATATTATTAAGAAAATAAATCTAATTAATACATAATTTAATGCTATATATTCTGAATTCATCACATAAATTAAAAATTTTGTATATTTAAGACTAAATAATTATTGATAAACTTTAGAACGATGGAATAAAAATTTTGTTGTTACTACTAAAATTACTATCTTAAAATATTATCGATTTAATTAAAGATTGTAGAAAATTGAGAATCCAGTTAATTAATTAACACTATTAGTGAGTGAATTTTTATCATTTTCAAAAACCCGACATACTAGTGTAGTGCTATTACTAAAGAATAAAAATAACGAAAATCACCAGCATTAGTATAAAATAAGCTAATTCAGATTATAAAATTATGATAAAAAATAAATGGATAAATGGTAGCTAAAATTTGAGATATTTACAATATGATATTCAAAAGCCAATTATGATAAGATAATAAGTATTTAAAGCCCTAAAATTAAATCAACTTAATGTTTTTATTTTATTAAAAAAAAATAATAAAAAAATATATATTGTTTGATTTACTATTGCTAGAATTATATCAAATGAATTCAAAAAGATTAGATGTTAAATATGATTTTGAAAGCGATAGGTTAATATGAGAATAATGAATCAAAAAAAGGAGAAAGAGAAAATCATATGTTAAATGTAAAATTTACAATAAATAAATAATCTTTAATGTAAATTTTTAATTTAAAATTGAATTGGAATAATATAATTAACTGGTACTTCAATGTCTTAAAATCAACCATTATTGGTTGTATATTGTATTAATAAAATTCATGAAATAAATTGAAGATTTAAGCTTCAATGGTAATATTAGATTATAAATGAGGGCTTGAAAGGATTTCATAAATAATAATAAAATCAATTATTTGTGCCTGTTTGTGAACAAAGATAAGATAATCTCTTTAATAATACTATTAAACATCTAATTGATTATAATTTGTCTACTCATGAATAATAAGAATAAAGATTAAATAGTAGACAGAAATTTTTGGGCAGTANTAAATTATTATATATTAAATTAAACTAAATTAATTTGGCTCTCTTGTTAACCATAAATATTAATCTTAAGAATAATGAAATTAAATAATCAAAAAGGTGAAATGTATTAACGATAAAAGTGGAAAATTAAACTTTTATCATTAAATTAATATTTTCAAATAAAACCTTTTATATATATTAATATTATTAAGAAAATAAATCTAATTAATACATAATTTAATGCTATATATTCTGAATTCATCACATAAATTAAAAATTTTGTATATTTAAGACTAAATAATTATTGATAAACTTTAGAACGATGGAATAAAAATTTTGTTGTTACTACTAAAATTACTATCTTAAAATATTATCGATTTAATTAAAGATTGTAGAAAATTGAGAATCCAGTTAATTAATTAACACTATTAGTGAGTGAATTTTTATCATTTTCAAAAACCCGACATACTAGTGTAGTGCTATTACTAAAGAATAAAAATAACGAAAATCACCAGCATTAGTATAAAATAAGCTAATTCAGATTATAAAATTATGATAAAAAATAAATGGATAAATGGTAGCTAAAATTTGAGATATTTACAATATGATATTCAAAAGCCAATTATGATAAGATAATAAGTATTTAAAGCCCTAAAATTAAATCAACTTAATGTTTTTATTTTATTAAAAAAAAATAATAAAAAAATATATATTGTTTGATTTACTATTGCTAGAATTATATCAAATGAATTCAAAAAGATTAGATGTTAAATATGATTTTGAAAGCGATAGGTTAATATGAGAATAATGAATCAAAAAAAGGAGAAAGAGAAAATCATATGTTAAATGTAAAATTTACAATAAATAAATAATCTTTAATGTAAATTTTTAATTTAAAATTGAATTGGAATAATATAATTAACTGGTACTTCAATGTCTTAAAATCAACCATTATTGGTTGTATATTGTATTAATAAAATTCATGAAATAAATTGAAGATTTAAGCTTCAATGGTAATATTAGATTATAAATGAGGGCTTGAAAGGATTTCATAAATAATAATAAAATCAATTATTTGTGCCTGTTTGTGAACAAAGATAAGATAATCTCTTTAATAATACTATTAAACATCTAATTGATTATAATTTGTCTACTCATGAATAATAAGAATAAAGATTAAATAGTAGACAGAAATTTTTGGGCAGTAGTTTCATTACTTGGTGATCTGTAATCATTTATTATTTTGATTATAAGATAAAAATATTTAATGTTTTGCTCATCAATAATTAGGTTTAGATTTTCTTTATAAATATATATAGTCATTCTTTGAAGATAAAATTATTCTTATTTAAATCTAAAATATGGGCAATTTAATGATAATATTTTTCTAATGTAAGTACTATTTTTCAATCCTTTATCTATATTTACATAAATTGAACAGTTATTTCAGAATGAGTAAAATTACTAATTAGTCAAAAGTTAATTGATATATAATTGTATTTAGTAAACAAAAATTTTTTGATGATTTAATCGTAACAGTAACATAAACAGTTAAGTAATGTATTATGGATTTTATGTAAAAAAAAAGTACCCAAAACAAATTCTTGAAATTTTCAGTTGATATTTAGATATTAAGCTTTTTGTATGTATAAGAATTTGAGGGTAAGTTGATAATTAGAAAATAAAAATATACTAATTGTTGCCCAAATTTTAATTACATTAAATTTATTTAAGAATATAATGATTATTTATCAATAATTTCAAAAACAAGTCTTTAATATTTAATTAAATTTGCTATTCCATATTTATCAGACTTTTTTGAGATTAATTGAATTAAGAAATTATCAACTAAATTCTTTTCTAAATATAAATAGAAATATTATCTTTGTAAGCAAATAAATACTCTTTAAATTCTATTTA